CTCTGCTGGAGGGGTCAGGCTGGTGCCAGCCTCCGCTTCACAGGGGGTTAAGAGGGGAAACACCTGGCCTGAGTTCACACAGGGATTCAAGTGCTGGGGTTAGAGCAAGGGCTTGAGAGTCACAAGACACTATCTACCTTCTCCTCTCAGCCACCAGCTTTGTAAGGGACCAGCTTTCTGCTGAAACCTCCAAACCCCATTCTCCATCTAAGGGTGCTTTGAGACCTACAGGCAAGAAGCGCGGCATATTATCAGACCCTGGCAAGGGTGAGAAGGGAAGTTGGCCAGTTAGCAAGTACAGCCTGTAATCTGAGCACAGTTAAGGCACTGTCTTCTATACACAATGCCCCATTTAAAACAATCTGTATTTAAACAAAATCCCTGTGGCTGGGTTAGCTGTTAATTCGCCGTGACTCAGTACTGCCAATTGGGAGAAACTCCTTGTTTCTTCCTAACCTATGATACCAGGCACATTTAAGAGGGAAACCAGTTGACACTGAAAAAACAGATCAAACTCCAGTTGCATCATGTTATTTTTATGCCTTTTTATTTATTTGCAGTCACCTTTGGAAGAGAGCCCGGAATTTCATACCACTAATTGTACAAGAGAGAGAGGCTTCAACAAAAAAAAAAAAAAAAAAAAAAAAAAAAAAAAAATCAGAGTTCAGTGGGGAGAGATGCTCAAGACGTGACAGAGAGGCAGTCGGGACCACTATGTCACAGCACGGAGGGTCAGCGGAGAGGCGGGAAGCAGTGTGGCATCGCACAGAAGAGGGTGGGTTTCATTCATGCTGCAGGAGCGAAGCCCATCTGGTTGTTGCCCATGTCATAAACAGAGTAGTAAGACCTGAGGAAGACGTCACCGAGGATCCACAGGGGCTGCCCGTTCTGGGATGGCAGGTAAGTGGGCCCAATGCCAACCATGCAGCTACCATCTGTGCTCTGTTAGGAGGAAATAATGCCAAGTTAATGCACTTCAGGGCAGTAGCTCCGATAAGAGCCCAAACTATCCAGCACTCCCATACCAAAATGGCAGCATGCCTCAACCCACAAAGTTGAGGCACTGTGGGCGACAGCGCAATGAGAAATGCATACCTGGATGACGTAGGCAGAGGGAGGCAGAGGGAGGCTGGTTCCACCGATGACAAAGGAGATGGTTGGCAGGCTATCAATGCTGTCACAGCTAACAACGTACTGTGGGAGGAAAGAGCCAGAGCAGATTAACACACGGGACCACCCATCTCCGGCAAAGGTCTGCTCCTCAGAGAGGCAGCTCCCAGGAACTCATGAAAGCTCTGTAGGACCATTAGATGGAAACCCATGACTTGTGCTTCTATTGCACCGCTAGCCACAGGAAGGCAACTGATGCTTCACAAATGTTAATCCTGCCAGCACTCTGAAGGCCCAAAAACCTTTGGTGTAGTTGACGTACTCGTGGCTGGACAAACACAAAATGCTTAAATGCTTTGCCCATAGCCAATGCAGGAGTCAGTGACAGGGGCAGGAACAGCCCCCAGGAGCCCAGACTACCAAATTATAAGTCTAGATCATGCTCCTCACTCTCTAGAGCTGAGAGAAGACCCAGGAGCACCTGTCTGCCAGTCCCCATCCTTACCCACTAGACCAGACTTCTTGGATAGCAGAAGCCTACTTATTAGCAATGTCCATCTCTTCCACTTTTAAGCATCGCCATGGGCTGCCATTCTTCCTACCTGGCCGTCACTGTCTTGCTCAGCTCCAATAGACTCCAACAGGTTTGAGTAGACATCTCCAGGAGCAGTGAGGAGGGAAGTCCCAGTGTCCACAATGCCTTGGCAGCCATTGCTACACCAGCCAGTGGTCTGTCCACTGATGGAGAAACTAAGGAAATCAAATACAAGAGGTTTGTACATCCTCCCCATCTCTGCCACATGATGGATGGAAAACCTGAAGGACCTGACTTGAGGACCCCAGGTTTGTGCTTTCATAGTACCTAGCGAATTCTTTAGGAAGTTTTGGATCTCTAAGGCCACACAGACAGAACTCAGGAACCTCAGATCCCAGAGACTCAAACCCCATCACAGCATGAGTCCCAGTCAATGGGTATAATCCCACCGACTTCAGCAGAACACAGATCAGGGCCCAGCCTCCTAGAGAAGACAAATGTAAATCGCCTTACCCCTCAATTGCAATTTGCCAATAAGCCTCCTGGGTGACAGGAGTCCAGATAATCTGCCCAGTGTACAGGTTGGAGTCGACACCTCCGAAGACCAGCTCACCGCCTTGAGAGCCGTCTTGCCTAATATAACAGGAGAGAAAGTGATTGGTTGTTTATGACAAGATCCCGAGTGCAAAACAAACTGTGTTCCAGAATGAGGTATGGAGCAAAAGTCCTCATGGTTCTTGCTCAAACATGCTCAGATGTCTAGATACCTATGTATTCACCTAGTGAGCCAGACACCCAGCCATACTCCTAACACCAGAACTCGAAGCGAGTTGCAATGGGTGTTTCAGTAAAGCCCCAGCACTCCTTGGAGAAAACAGATGATTTTGTGATACACGCAGAGATGCTCCCAAGTTTTTGGGCATACTAAGCTATAACAGATCCCATCCAGGTGTGGATGCTTGGCCCCTGGCCTCCTGAGGAAATATTATGGTGAAGCCTAGGGTTTGCAGTCCATGAGCAGGGGGTGACATTGCTACCTGACAGGACCTTTCTTGCTGGGAAGGCAGGAAGGGTGAATGGCCTCACGGAGCTTTCCTTTTATTGACCAGTTCTGAATAGGAAAGGGTGTCAAACAGAATGGGTGCTTTGAAGGTGAAGGGAAGAGAAGACAAATGATGAGACTCCCGAGTCAGCCAGGGCCCTCCTGGAGGTCTGGGAGACCCCAGAGGCCCACACCACACCAAGAGAAACCAGAAGCAGTGCACAAGCAGTAAGGGAAGGGGAATGGTCTCCTCCGTACGAGCTCAGGTAGAAGCTGAAGAGTGGGGCATCGAGGAGGTTCTGTTGAATCAGGCCTTGCATCACGGTGGTGGCACCCCCAGAGGAGATGGCAGGGTAGGCCAGCCCCAGGATCCCATCAAACTGTGCATAGACAAAGTTGGTGCCAGGCTCCGTCTCGCTCAGGCCAAACTCCTGGTCTGAGATGGCAACGTTCTGGATCTGTGGGGCAATGGGAGGAAACAGCCATTACAACTAGACAGAGACACAAGATGTGGCTGTCCAATCCACCCACGCTTGGAAGGAGAGTTCAGTGTGCACTGAATCTAACCCTACAAATATCAGGGACCATCACCCCCATTTTACAGACGGGGAGACAGAGGCACAGACCGCAGAGGTGATTTGCCTGGAGGTTGCACAGCAGGTCAGAGGCAGGGTTAGGATTACAACCCAAACACTCTGATGCCCTGCTACTTGAAAAAATAAAAGACAGATTGCAACCCATACTCATCGAGATGAGGAGAGGAACAGATGCCTCAGCTTTGGCACTCAACAGCATGTTGGTTTTAACCGAGAATTTCCCAGTAGGTCTTGATAGCCAAAACCACGTATCCACCAGATCTCCAAGCCCTGGAAATATGAGGCATTTGACCACTGCATGACATAGACATGTTACAGCATGCAGAGGTGGTTGGAGCCCCTTCTTCGAGGATTTGCTCAGTGCCCTGGCATATAATCTCTGCTCAGAGGCTGATATCTTCCAGCTAATGCTAAAGCAATAGTCACTCTGGCATCTCCCTGACCAACGCTATTACTTACGGTGACGGTGTCGTAGCCAAAGATTCCTGTGAGGCTGCCAGTCCCGTACTGCAGAGAGAAGCTCTGGTCCTGCGTGGAGTATGTGGAGGAGTTAGCAGGGTTGAACAGTGGGTGGTTGGCTGGGCAGAAGAAATGGAACAGTGTTAAGGTTTCAGCTTGCACAAATGATGGACTCAAGCTTGAACTGAATCTGGGGCCTGGCGCTCTAATCTCCTTTGGGAACATCTCCTAACAACATACTTTGCCTTGATGTAAAGTTTTCCAGCTGAAGTTCATAGAATCAGAGAAAATGAGGGTTGGAAGGGACCTCGGGGCATCACATCCAGCCCAACCCCCTGCTTAAAGCAGGACCAGCCCCAACTACATCGTCCCAGCCAAGGCTTGGTCTCAAAAACCTCCAGAGATGGAGATTCCACCACCTCCCAGGGTATCTTGTTCCAGTGCTATACTATCCTCCTCGTGAGAAAGTTTTTCTTAATATCTAACCTAAACTTCCCTTGCAGCAACTTGAGACCATTGCTCCCGTTCTCAAGGCACCACACAGTGGGTCTCTCAGCACCTCAGAGGTAGGGCTTATCGCAGCTATTTTACAGGTTGGAAAACTGAGGTGCAGAAGGGGACACAACTCGCCTGAGGTAGCAGAGTCGTAACCCACACTCCTGCTCCTTAGCTGCTAGCCCTCCCTCTCCCACTGCCGTCCTTCGGGGTACGCAGTGGTTTGAAAACACAGCAGGTGCCTATGCAAACCATATGGTCCTTATGGTGATGCAGATGTATTGGTGCACTGTTCTGTGGCCTCACAAAGGGGCTGAGAGCATTTGAACAAGACCCTGTAAAGTGCTGTCTGACAGATTCATATGTACCAATTATTATTAGCCGTGGGCTAGCCCCAAAGAGCCACAGGCTCAGGACTAAGCTGTACAAGGAGCTGTACACACAGCACGAAAGGATGGTCCCTACCCAAAATACTCACAATCTAAGTAAACTCTTCCCCCTTACCTATCAATTTGCAGTGACACTACACAACTCTCAGCACGCGGGGACTGGAAGGATGTCTATCTTCTTGACTAACCACCCAGCTTTGGGCCAGCTTAGTGATCGGGATGGGCGACTGTGGTACAGAACCTCCCTCCTTGGAGAAGGCATAATCCCCAGCCCTTTTTCTGGGGAGGTTACTCACTGCAGGCCTCGCTCTGGCAGTACACGGAAGGCACCCACAGGTTGGAAGAGCCCGTGTCGAAGAGAACCAGGAAGTTCTGGGGAGGGGTCCCAATGCTGATCTCACCATAGTAGGACATCTAGAGAAACAGAGATGTTCTTCTCATCACCAGTCCCCCGCTTCCTACCGCTCCCCAGATGATAGTACAACTGAGAACACGGGAGATGTCTGCTGCATGGCAAAGCTCACTTCGCTCCAGTGCAGCAGCCAGAGGCCAGGTGGGGTCAGGGAGATGCTCTACTTGCTCTTCTCCCATCCCTGCTCCTTTGCTCATGGGACTGTCTCCTTCCACCCCCTCCCATGGGCACCCTCCTTCCCGTCTCTCTGCTCCCTCCTCCCCCTATTTTTGCAGCCAGGCAGATACTCACATCTATGTAGTTAGCCAGGGGTTCGGAAACAACAGCGAACTGATTGTAGTACTTGCTGGCCGGGTCATAATGGTGCGTCTTCAGGTAGTCCTTGAGCACACCCTTGTCCCTCATCACCTCCCGCATGGACTTGAATCTTTTCAAGGGAACTCTGCACAGGATGGAGAGAAAGTGATGAAGTCCATGGGATGGCTCTCGCCTCCCTCTTTCACTCTTCCTATTCCCCCTCCCACTCCCTTTCTTTTCTCCACTTTACTCCCTTTCATATTCTTCAGCACTGAATTGTTTGGGCTGGGGGCGTCTGATCTTTTTTCCAATGGGCTATATGATCTAGCTGCTGTATGGTCCACCACACTGGGCTGAACAATTCCCCCTGAGCCCTGCTGACTTCCACGTAGCTGCAGCAGAGATGAATCTGACCCCATGTCTTTCATCTTCTGGGGCAGTTGAATGTGATCTCCTTGGAGTAGTGAGCGAGTAGCACAACAGAAAGCTAAAAGTAGGAGAGCTTTACTTGGGAATCAGTCCAGTGCTTAATTTTAGAGCCAATCCTTCACTATTGTTTCTCTGAACTCAGGGAAAATGCTAAGCCATAGAAGAGCACACTAGTCATCCTTCCTAAAATACACTGGCATTTGAATAGGCACGTCTCACTGCTCAAAAGGGAGGAAGGCTTATAATGTGCAGGGGGATTAAATAAGTTGCTCAAGGCTGCAGAAAGAGTCTGCCAGAGAGCCAAGGGCACAATCCAGGTCCCAGGTCCCGGCCCCCTTCCAAGCCAGCCCCCCACGACGTTCCTACCATTCCCTCCAGCCACCACTGCAGAAACTGCTGCCAGGCAGCTGCGGTGTCACTCTGCACTCACCTCACCATCCCCTCAGAGAGGTGGAGACACACCAGGGCAAGAATCAGCCACTTCATGGTGCTCTTCTCTGGAAGCAGTTCCCAAAGGGTCCTCTGGTCACCGCAGTTCAGTCCTGGACACGGGGCTGAAATGGGACCTCTAGGATCCCTACCTATATACCCAAAAGGACCTGCTGCCCTCTCTGCTCCCTCCACCCCTGCCCGGTTCACACATCAGCAGCTTATCACTGGATCAATAAAGCTCTGTATTCTGGCTTATCTCAAAACCAGCTGCTTAATCAGAAGGGCAAATGCTATTTTATTTTTGAATGGCTAAAGGGACAAAATTGCATTGATAAGAAGAATCAAAATTCCTCCAAAAGACCAACAGCCCACCACCGCGTTTCTCTTTATCTTCCACTTATTTGGAGTTCGATAGGCCTATTGAAGGTTTTCCCCAAAGGTAAACGGAAGAAAAGTTTGATCACACATGGCAGCTGGGTAAAAATGGAAAGAATAACATGTTTTGTAGTCACTTGTCTGATCTGCATTGTTTCCATTTCCAATTTCTGCCTGCAACACCGCAAGAGCTACATGCATCCAAGGTTATGCAACGTCCTAAAGGAACAAAACACGCTGGTTTGGGCTGAACATTGCAGGGAGAACTCAGCACCATAGGGGTGCTCTGTTCACTTTGGAAGGCACAAATATCCCCATAGCAGCCCTTTTAGTTAAACAAAGGGTGAAGTTTAGGGAAGGATTTTTATAACCCCAGGAGCCATATTGTGCCTGTGACCACATACTTAGCTTGCACTTGCAACAGGTGTGCACAACCAATTCTTTTCACGTAGACACAGTAAAAGTTGCACTAGCAGGGTGAGGGAAGTGCCTATAATAAAAGGAGGTGAAAATATCACATCCAAAAGGCCATCTGTTTAAAATGGTCATCTGCACCAAATTTCTTGGCATATTAGGAGGTGCAAAAATAACTTATAACCTCACTTTGCCCTGTAGTTACACTAGGCACGGGAAATGGACCTGCAAAATTGCCATTAAAAATCAGTTTATTCCAGGCCTCGCAAACACCAAAATGCCTCAATTGTAGTCATGCGGTTATTGCTGGTACCTGGTGACATGACAAAACACAGCTGCAGTTCCATTTCTTAACACGTTTTAACCCAGAAGATCTCAGGCTGGCATCATATTACCGATATGTACGGCTCACCTCAACTCCATCTGACCATAGGGACTTTGTCAGAGAATTAATTACTTCTTAGCTGGGCTTTGTGCACTGGCATCAGGGGAAGACAGTCCAAGTCACAAGCACTTGTCACTCACTGTTGGACCTACAAGGGAGGCTCCATTAGTGGCCTTGCTCACTACTTGCAGAGCAAAGCCCTTGGTGTACAGAACAGGTCGCTAAGGACAGGAACAGCAAAAGCTTTTGTGTCGTATCTACTTCAACTCCTTGCCCATAGCCTCAAAAGTGGCCATATCAACAACTAGCTCCTATCAAAATCCTCATACAATTCATCCAGCTATTTACCATCATTGCTCCAGCTAACCTAGACTCTTAGCAGTTGCCAAGGTGAGATTTCCAGATATAGAATTAGAAAAAATCAGGCTGGAAGAGACCTCAGGAGGTCACCAAGTCCTACCCCCTGCCCAAGGCAGGATCATCTAAACCATCTCAACCAAGCAGATGTTGTCTAATCTGCTTCTAAAAGAACTTCCAGTGATTCCAGGTAATCTTTTCTGATATTTAACCAAACATATACTGAAAAAAAGTTCTTTCTAATATTCAAAATTTCCCTTTTTGTCATTTAAGCCCATTACTTCTTATTCTGTCCCCAGTAAGCCATTTTAATGTAATCCTCCTCCTCCTTACAGGGGCTGCAATTCCTTAGCTGATTATTGAGAACACCATGGAATCAATACCTCATTTGAGGAGGAAACCCTTTGTACTTTTAATCTGAATGTGAAGGGGTTTTCCATTTTCAGAGGCTTCCATGCATTTTTCCATTGCTGGTTAGGTCAAAGGGAGACTTGCATGCATCCTTGTGACCAATGGCAGCGGATGTCCCTGCCCTGCAAAAACATCCCACCGAAGATTCATGGATTCTAAGAGAAAAGGGGACAATTATGATCATCTCTTCTGAGCTTCCTTATATCACAGGATAGAAAACCATGCATCAAACTCAAACTTCAGGATCAAGCCATCAGTGTCCAATAGCATACCTGCCTCTAGCAGATAGCCACCATCTGTCTCAGTCTCTTTTAATCCTTTGCAACACTTTCATAGCATTTCAAACCAATAAAGCCTCACTGACTTATTTCCTTTACAACCTCTTCTACAGAAGAGTAAAGGCTTCAGCATCTCCTCATACATAACTAAGGCTGTAGACTTCAGGGTGGTTTAGATGCATGTTCATCTTGGTATGTGGGAGGGAGAGGGAAGACCTTAAGGATGTGGTCCTCCTCTGCCTCTCCACCCCCAAACTACCCCCCCTTAAGGTCCTGGCAGGTCCCAGTTTAGACACAAGCCACATGGCAGAAGCGGTCTTCTGGAATGTAATTATGAAGAAGGCGCATATAATTCATTTGG